CATAATAATTTTATTTATTTACTTATTCTCTCTCTGGCCCCCACTCAACATAAGTGGCCAAAACGCATTTACGCAGAATCATTTTTTCTATGTTTTTAAGTATACCTAGTCTTAGAAAAAAGATAGTGAAAAATATTTTTGAGGAAATGACATATGGATATTATATTGGATTGTTAATTGATTTTGTATTCGACATAAAAAAAAAAAAATTTAACTTAAATAATGTTTAATTTGTGTTGAAACAATATTTAGACAAATCGATATGTCATTCCATCAAAAATATTATTCTTTATTTTTTTTTTGTAATGGATGATTTTATTTTCACATAAAAACATAGAAATAATGATTTTGCGTAAATGAGTTTTGTTTATGTTGAGCGTGGGCCAGAAAGAGAGAAAACAAATAGTGTACTGGCATCCTCTTAATATATTTTATTAGAATTAATATTATATTATAAAGGTACCGTAATTCTTTCTTGGTCCACATCCAAATACTGTCGTATTATATTAATGTTTTCAAGAACATTTTTTAATAACTTGTTTTTACGAGTATTTGATTTTAATAAGTCAGTTACTGTTTTTTGCTGAGATCTTATTTGATTCTGAAATAAAACAAATTCTAAAAAAATACCTATTTATTTCAAACGAATATTCTTAATTCCTAAATATTATATATATTACTTCTAATATTCTTATTTCTTGAATAAAGTGATTCTTTAAATTTTGGGATTCAGACTTCGATTTAATAATCATGTAATCGATTATAGTCATTTCCATTTCGTCTAAAAATTTCCAATTCGTCTCAGTTTTAAATTTCTTTATCATTTCGTCTTTAATGGAAATTTTAATATTTTTCAAAACATTCTCCATCTTAGCTATTTCAATACGATCCTTTTTTGCGCATAACTTTTCGTTTGCCAAATTATTAATTACCTCTTTTTCTTCTTTTTTTAATTCCGCAGCTCTATTTGATAGATCTTGTATAACATTTCCATATAATAAGATACTATTTTTTAAAGATTTAGCTTTGGTCATTTGAGATTTATGAAGTACAATCGTGGTATAAACATCATTTAGTTTCAATTGTTTTTTTATCTATGATTTAAATTATTAAATCAACCATTATAATTACACATAGATAGGTAGGTAGTATATTAAAATTATATTAGGTACTTATATTGCTAATAATCATTAATAATATACAATGCTATTCTAAATTTTATTGTCGTCCTTATTAAAATATTTACATAATTAAACATTTTCCACCCTTTAAAAAGTTACAACTTTGGTCACCCTAGGGTGGCACTTACCCCCNCCCCTGAAGTGGCTCTGAATATAATATATATACTATGATACCGAAGGTTAGGTAGTCCACAATGGGTACCCGGTACACCCATTACAGTGACCCAGTAGGTAGGTACAGTAGAGTTTTACTGGGTGATATATGCGATTGCAAACGCACCTTTTCTCGTATCACGATTGAGAACATTTTTACCTGCCTTTCTTCGTCAGCGTTGTCAGATTCGTTGTTAGTAAATTATAAAAAAGATTATAAAAAAGATTATAAAATATTATAAAAATATTATAAATAATATTTTATAATATTATATTATAAAAAAGATTTTATATTATATATTATTTAAAGTCAGTTTTAAAACCTTCATCCTCCAACACACGCAATGTTTTCAGTTTTAAAACAAACACAGGCACAAACTTTGATAATAATAAATTCTATTGAAAACAAAGTACATAATCCTATGGCCAAAAAGATAAATCTAGAACTGGATAAACATTAAAAATTAAAATGATTATAAAATCTATAAGAATCTAATTTTATATTTATAAAAAACTGAAAAATCCTACCAAGGAAAAAATTTAAATAAAAAATAAAAATAAAGAAAAAACTTTTTAAAAACAATTTAAATTATTTAAATTTACTTGTGTATTTATTTGCTTGTAACTTATTAAACATTATTGAACAGTATTATTAATATTCATACAGAATTTTTTTTCAATCAATCAACATTTTAAACATTACCTATTATTTTGTATAATTTTATGTTTGTAAAATTAGTTTGTAACGTAGTTATAAATTTATAATGTCACATTATATTATATATATATATATTTATTTTGAAATATAAACTTGGTAACGTAGCCTAAAAACGGTTCGCAATCGTTCGAATTTCGACTAAAAAAAAAAATTCATCGATAAGCGACATTCGTTTGCAATCGTGTTAGGTATACCTGTTTTACTACCCACTAATCCACTTACCCGTTTTTTCGAGTTATTATAATAGTTTATTATTCAAAAACTGGCGGGAATTTATTTCTATTTGTAAATGAGAATTATTATATATTTTTACATATTATTTATTATTGAAAGTAGTCTAATATAATATCAAACTCCATTATCTTCATTAAAGAACAATAAAATTACCTAGGTAATTATAATCATTTTCTACGCGAGAAACAGAGTAACACTTCTAATTTCTAAGATAGGTATATGYCATTATTCTTGCCGGAAACTTATGTTGAATTATTAATAATATTGAATTGTACCAAAAAACAATATATTTATTTATAAAATATTACTCCAAATACAAAATTCTACCTAATAGAAAATATATTTTCTGATAGTTGACACAGAACACTTGGCCGTTTTTGTTTGTATAGTTTAAGTAGGTATAACTGTATAAGTAGTTTGTGTGGTCAAATTTACTTGGAAGGCCGTAGGTAGTTATGTATAAGGACATATATCTACGTATTTACAAGTATATTATATTATATTTAACTATAKAAGTAACTACGAAGTACCTTTTTATTATTTAAGGATTAAGGAATGTGAATATACAAATAATGTGTGGGCCTAAAATAGCGATATGGCATTATATTATATGATAATTATAATTATTAAAGGATAATTCTAACCTGACATGATTCTAATTCATTTTGAGTTTGTTTTAACTCATCTTCAATAACATTGAGTTCTACGTAAGCTAAACTCAGATGTGTTCTACTAGCATCCAATTTTTTTTTAATATCCTCGATGTTTTTTTCAATTTCATATTTTTTTGATCTCAATTCTAATGTCTTATCAAATAATTTTGGATCACAGCCTAATGGTAATACTTTTTCGTCAAATACTGTTGGTACTTTCATTGCCATTAATGATTCTCCACTTTCGTTATTATATTCTGGTTCAGATTCATCACTTTCGTCGGACGAAGACGATGAACTATCTATATAATATATATTTATGTGTACATAAAATTTGTAATATTGTGGCTGTGAGGGCAATGATACTTGGTATTTAATACATATAAAACAAAAAATTAATTATTATATTACGTTACCATCGGTATCATGAGATTTAATTTTTGGTATTTTCAATTTCTTATCGAAAATTTTTTTAAGATGTTTAGCAAAACCATTATTTTCCAATTTCATACACATATCAAAATTATGTCGGTTATCTATTAGCATATTTGTTTCTTTAATATGAATATCATTAAAATATTTTATGTCTTCTTGAATTCTTTGTATCTATTAGCAAGTATTAAAATTGGTTTACTACTTAAAATTAATACTTAATTAATAGGCCAGGTTTAGCCATTTATTAATACGTATTACTTGTTGAGCTTTATCATTTTGTAATCCTATTTTAACATGTACTTTGTACGAAAGTTCATCTTCAAGTAAATCAAAATCGTACAAGACTAACATTTCTTCTTCTAGCGTTGTAGCCCATAAATCAAGAAATTTAATTTCGAGTTTAATATCTATTCGCATTTTATTTAATTCAAATAGATGGTCATCAAACATATTGATTTTATTCAACATTGTAGCATGCAAATGCATATGTTTATATTTTAGCTTATCAATTCTCATTTTTCGCATAATGATTTCTTGATGTGTGGGCTCTTCGTAAAAATATGCATCCTTATATAGAGGACTTAATTTGGGATTATAAAGCAAATCCATTGTATCCTGTTGATCAGTTGGTTCAAATGAATCAATCAAACTAGGCTGAAATAAAATATTATAGAAAGACTCAGAAATTAGATGCGTATTTTTTATTTTTTATTTATTTATTTCAACTTCAACTTACAATATACTACTAGGTACATATTATTATGTAATATTTACATATTTATTTCCTTTATACATTATATATATGCAAGGCTGGGCAAGTTAATGATTTTTTTTAACTCAGTTAAGTTAAGTTAAATTWAAATCTAAATCAAGTTAATCGTTAAAAGTTAATTCAAAATGTTCTATCAATTGAATTAAGTTAAGAGTTAACCAAAATTTAATATTAACTTTTTAACTCAAATTAAGTTTAAAAAAGTTTCTTGTTTTCTTATAAGTAAAATTAAAATAATTGGTACCTAAAATTGTTCATGTCATTAGACCAAAGAACTATTACTATTTTATGTATGCAAAAGCTTACAGTACACATTTTGTTACTATACTTATAACCTTATCAAATGTGTACCTACCAGCAATTTGTATTCCTACAATAGTTCACAAAATTAAATTTAATTAACTTAACTTTTTAAAAGTAAAATTAACTCAAGTTAATTAAAAGTTAATTCGAAGCTCCTTAAGTTATTAATTAAGTTAATAAACATAAAAAAAAATAACTTATTTACTTAAAAAGTTAAAWTAACTTAACTTTAACTTATTAACGCGTTAATGCCTAGCCTTGTATATATGAAGTATGACAGCTACAAATATAAAACTAGGATTAGGTTTGTTATTAGAGTCGTATTTAAGAACTTTGCACCCCAGGTAAGAAAAAAACGCMCCTTTCTAGCTTAATTTATTTTAGCAATAKACGTACTTATTTGTAAAAAAAAAATGCATGATAGTTTATTGGTATCTGAGTGTCATTCCTTTTTTTTCACCCAAATGATCTGAGGAAGTACCGTATCATATTAAAATGCTCTCAAAAATAAAATTTAGAGTGTCTAAAAATTTACCACCCGGAGTACAAATCCGCCCTAAATACATCACTGGTTGTTAACAATGTTGTTATTATTATTATAATATAKTTATTAATTTAGCTTAACCTTAATTTAACCTTTAATAACGTTATATTAAGACTACTCGTAGGTAGTAGGTACTATCCCTTTAGTTCCTAGTATACCGGTTGGCTGTAAACGAGTTGTATCCCAAATACATGGAATTGTGTAATTTTCAGGTTATACGAGTTGTGTACTTGTGTCCATACGAAAATAAGGTAAGTACTTTAGTGTTCACAAGTTATGTATTGATAAATTTCGTCTATTGAAATTTGTCTACAATGAAAAATATTTATATAGATATATTATATTTTACACAAGACGAAAATATGTTTCATAACAACGACATAAGCCAATAAATATTGAAAACTGAGATCAAGTGCGTAGAATGTGATTTATATAGATACACGCATCTTGTGTAAAAGTGTGGAAAAAAATTAATTTTAATGGTGGAATCATTTWAAAAAAAAGCATCAATGAGGTACAACACAAGTCCCTATAAACACATTTAATTGTGGCTAACTATTTTTAGGTATTTAAGGATTAACTTAAGTCCAATGTAAACATACAGTGAAAATTCAATATTATAATAAACTTCCATTTAAGAAAATTTTCTGTTGAATTAAATATTTTGAGAAACGATCAAATAAGTTAATTAAATAATAATTTACATACGGGTTGCCCCAATTAAAATATGAAAACATRAGGACAAACAAGCAAAAGACTTAATAAATWAAAATAAAAAATGTATTGTATAAATTATATTCAATTCTATTTTATGAAATTCTCTACAGGTAGTTAATATGCATTTTTTTACATGCTACTTTGAAATGTAGAAGTTTCAACTACGCATTTACACCATGGAAAATCATGTATTGTAAAGTCGGCAACAATACCAGATATTATAAAATCAATCCTCGAGGTCAAAATGGGGTAATTATCCCGCTTCAAATTGACTATTTTCCACTACACCTCWAGATTCACCACTTTTTATTAATGACACTATGTAAAAATAGTTAATTTTTTCATCCATATTACCCTTTTTTAGGGAGCTGGAGTGGCGCAGTGGTCACGCAGTTGACTATGACTCACACAGTCATCGGTTTGATTCATAGAAAAGTGCAGAAAAAATTGTTGAGGTTCTACGTGATAATCGAATCCCCAAGCTGTCGTCCGATTGCGTCATCCGGTTTCCAACTAGGTCCCACTCCACTGGGAGTGAAGACCGGGGTATATGTCAATTGCGCCAGAAATCACAGGTAAGGAAAAAAAAATTATGGGATTCAAAAAGGTTATACATCAACTGCGCCGGACGATATTWAGGTCCAAAAAAGATTATACATTAATTGCGCCGGCAATACTGAAGTTGAAAAATAAGCTGATTACACACTAGGCGATTTGAACGTACTCGTCTGCGTTTATAGGACGATTTAAAATCGCGACGTTTTAAACTGTACATACTATACGTTATCTATCTACATGCAATAAATTGGTCAAATCGGAATATCCGCTAATAAAAATGAGATAACGTAATAATATTATATTATGGAAGTAATAACTAACAAGTTATTTTTCTTTTTTCCAAATGATCAGTATCGTTTCGTCGTTCGTATAAATTCGTTTACGTGAAATAGTCTATAGCAATAGCAATTTCGTGTGTGTGAATGTGGAAAAGATCTAATTCTTTATAAAAATTATAAATTTTCATGTAAAAATCTTACTAAAAATGGACATAAGTGGCGGTGTACAGAAAAAACTTGTAACGCTAAATTGTATGTTGACRAGGTTAAAACTACAATATTAAAAGAAGAAACTGAACACAATCATCTCCCTCCTAAAAACGTTCAACGACAAATTATATCAAATCAAGTTRAAAGAAAAGCTATGGATAGCTATAATCTAATAATAGTATAATAATATGATATTTTATAATATCTTCCTGGCACAATAGATATATATTATGTATACCAAATTAATTTKTGATAAATTTATTGGCGCAAAAGACGTATACCTTTTTCGTTTGGGATAAATCCACCGGCGCAAAAGATGTATAAATTTCAGGTAGTCTAGAAAAATCGGCGCAATTGACAAACACCGGAAGACCGCACATGTTTCCTTTTGGAGAAGGGGTTARTATCATATATTATATAGTGATATATACATAGATATATAGTTCACATGAACTCCCTACTACCCACTTGTGATAAGCATTGACGAAGACCTAGAGGTTGTTTCAATGAACAAAAAAAAAAATACCCTTTTTTGACGTTCCTTGTTATCTAATAGGTAGTTCATTTATAATTAGTRAAAATGAAAAGTAAAATTTCATCTATACCAGAGGTATTCAAACTTTTTCAGCACGCGGCTCCTTTGTGTGTTCACAATATTAGTACGGTTCCCAAATTATTATTAAAAAATTGAAACAACAACGGATCTAATATGGGAAATATGTTATATGATAATAACAGTGACTTAAGCACTAGAAATAAAACTTCAAATGGTCGGATAGTAAGGTGTGTCGTTTTCATTTCCATAATGATTGCAAATAATATTTACAATAGGTAATTATACAAGACCTATGATGTTGGTTTTCGGTGCTTTGATGCGATTCCCTTTTTAAACTTTCACGACGCCCCCGGGAGCCGCTACGCACAGTTTGAATACCTCTGATCTATACTATTTTACATCTATATACTAGGTCGTAACGATATCGCGTAAAATGTCAGTAAGTTCAAAATGCCTAGGCTTATATTTGTATTTATTTACAAAATCCTGGTTGTAACGAAATCGGATGTAATGAAAATATCAGTTAAATTGAAAATTACACTAATATTGTATTTAAAGCGTATATAATAACCATATAATAATTATTATCGCATGTTTTCATTAAATATTTTATAGATGTAGCTACATGCCTACTTTCATACGTCTTATTAGAATGAATGTTTACATCATGGAAATAAGTAGAAATATCTGTAATAATATTTTGATATTGTCAGATAGTATTTTCAAGTATTACATCTATGTTTAGCTGTTAATGATTATAAATAATTATATATGTACATAATATTATGTAAGTTCAAATTAATTAACAAGTTATATTAAAAAATAAATACAATTTGGTTATAACGACTTATTATGATCATGAAATATTTTTAACAGTTCCTTATATCAACATTCTATATATTTTTAAAACTCGATTTCTCTTCAGGACATAACTCATCCACGTTTTTTTTTTTTTTATCACGGAACACAACTCGTGTCACCCTCTTTTATCATTGGGGTCATTTTATCGGAACTATAGTGTTTATCTGCGTACTGATAAATAGTACGAAAAAAATACAATAACATTTTTTTTTTTTTTCATATTTCGTTACTTTATCAATATTTAATTTTGATTCATGAAATGGATTATGGATAATACTTAAACTTAAAACCTAACCAAGGTATATAGCAGAGAGTACTTTATAAAAATTAATAATGCAAATATTGTAAAATAATAATACTTTACTATAGGTAGCTTTTTTTCTTACATCAATAGATTCGTCCATTAGGACTTCAGGGAAATCTAATGGCGTTATTATTTCTGGATCATTTAATTCCTTTTGTATTATATTAATATCAAACTTAAATTGTTTGTAGTCATGTATTAATCTAATTTTTTGTCTTCTGAGTTCGAACACTTTTTCATTAAATGTTTTTTTCATAACATGTATCTATTAAAGAGCATAAATTATAAAAATATATTTATAAATATATAAATTAATGGAAAATTAACCTTATCTTTAACTTCCATGTAATTTTCAAACGTATCTTCCATTTTAATTATTTTATCTTCAGTAATTTTAAAATCAGATCCTGATTTCAAGTTATAATATCCAATAGAATCCATAGTACTTTCTAATAATGCTTCTTCTTCTATATTATTTTCTTCATTAGGCTTATTTTTATACATCT